TTTGCAGCAGCCAGCTGCCAATATGGACACGTCTACCCGGCGAGAGGTGAAGGCATGAGCGGCCACCGACCAATTCCCTACAAAGTTTGAGAACGTTTCATCCCCTGTTGATGCACGCACAACGGGCTGACAGATGGAGCTTACCCGCCATGACCCACGGATGACCCTGATAATCAGCACATCACCCCTGATTCCTGCCGAGAGGCCTAGCAACCAGAGGTCGAAGCGACCAGGAAGTCGTATGAATAATGCGAATGCGTGCGGGAATTATGCAAGCACAATTCGTCCCAGGACGTAACAGACGTTTCCATGTGTTTTCAGGAGGTCAACTCCGTCGCTTAAAGTCAGCCTGCAGGCACCTGTTGCAGACTATTGTGACTGTTGACATGTTCGACATCGGGAAACATGTTTTTGTTTTGCGATTTATATTAATGTCAAGCATATGCCGGGGCTTGTTCTGGTTTCCCACCAGCATTCGAGCGGGGCCGGCGGTGGTAACTAATTAGCCGTCTGGAAGCCACGAGAGACAGGGCGGAAGAAAACAGCGTGAGAGACGCGCGGACGCCGGCGAGTAGCGTCGTGTTCATAGTTTCCTAAACCTGTGCGCCTCAGGCCCCACGCCCGGTCGCCCGGTCCGGGTCAGGTCAGGTCAGGTCAGGTCAGGTCGCACCATGTAGCGTTATTCTGAGGGCGTGCGCGCGTCGGCTAAGCGATGTGATGTGCAGTACAGCGGTCGCCATGGTGCAGGGTGTTCCTACCCAGACATCCCAGACATAAGAACGGCACGCTTGGCACGCAGGCCACCTTTCCATAAAATCAGTCGAATGATTGCACCGTTTTTCTGCTCGTTGACACTTTGGTATAGCAGCTTACACTGGTGTGGGAACATGCGTATTTTTGAGTTGCTGGTTTGATATTGGTGGTAAGATCATGACAAGACCGTTGAGTACCGATGTGTGTCGCTACTTCCGACACGTCTTTAGCGTGCGGCGGTCTGGTATGTCGGTGTTCCCTGCGCGAGGGCCGGCAGAATGTGGACGGTTTTTGGTCGGCCCCGGCTTTTAGCGCGCGCGTCGTGTGTGGAGGCGGTGTGGCTGCATCTGTCCCCCCCCCCCAGAGATACCGGACCCGGCGACTCACAGTCGTCAGCTGTCCACCGTAAATGGATCTCCCAGCTCGCCTAATGCTCCGAGGAGGCGCCCGTCTCAGCGTCTGGCCATCGCTCACTTAAGTCTCGCCTTCTGTACATCGGTTTTTTTTACTAGAATTTGTTCCGTAGGCCGTCGTCATGCGGCTTGAGTAATGCCCCCTATCTGTGACGCCACTTTTCTTTCGTTCTGCTGCTGCCCCTGCGGGCAGCATGCTGAGATTTATCACAGCATGCACACACTGAATCGCTTGGGACTGGCGAACATGGGCAGCAGGCATCTCGGTACTTTGAGAACCTTATTCGATTATCAATGAAGACTACCCCCGGAGGCTCGGAAGAGACAGCTGAGCTGATTCCGTGCGGCGGCGTCACGCCGGCGGCAATTCTGGTCACGTGATGCCTGCTGGTGCTCCAGGCTCGGCAAGTCCGACAGTAAATTGACGCTCGGCTCCACGAATAGAGTTCTGGGACACGGCGAAATTGCATTTGTGCGCCGCAACGGTGAGCTGCCGTCTGTCCATCTCGGTGTAAAGCATACCTTGGCCTCCAGCCCGTGTTCGTGCCGAGTTTTTGAGCGTACTCGCGGCATTTCGCTCACTTCCTCTCTGGTGGAAGGGCTTTGTTTTAGGTTACCTGAAGTCGCGGGATGTCTTCCGCTTCCTCCAGCAGCGCTCGTGAGCTAATGGTGGACGACGCAGTTCGGTACGGCATTGGGCGTGCCATTTCCTGGCGCTGCTTGCAATTTGATGTTATCGCCCGCTCCGAACCGCTCGGGGAGCTGGCCTCTGGAGCGGCCCAATGTCTTCCTGCGCGGAGAGAGACGCGCGTGCAGCCTGCCGGTTGCAGCACTCCATGACCGGCGTCGGGGGGAAGGGGGGGAGGGAAGACCGGGCTGACGTAGGACCGGCGCCTAGTCGCTGTTGTTTATGTGTGTGTGTGCGTGTGTGTGGATGTAGACAAATTGGATCGATGTCACTTCCGACATACCCCACCTTGATTAAACCGGGACGAAAATTAATGGTTGGGTAACGTACGGCATGTCGACATTAGCTGCGTGGAGTAAGGTTCCCACGTTTGTCGGTTACATTGTCACCACATTTTTGAGCTCTAAGTCGGAAAGCTGGTGCAAGCCACCAAGATATGCGTGAACAATGCGTTGAAAGATAACGAAATGGCCCTCATGGGCTGTATTTCGTTGCCATTTTTCAGCTGGCGGAAAGCCTGCTGCGGCCACAGTATCTTGATGTATCAGAACTGAGTGTGCCCGACAGGCGGCAGACAGGCGCCCGACAGTGGCGAACTCGTCGCCACGGCAGGCCTGTCGCCGTCGGACCCACTTCTCACCTCGGGCGGTGACGCGAGAATAGCGCCGACCGGAGAGACGAGTCGCGCAGCTGGTCTTCGGCTCACCGCTCCCCGACGCCGCCGGTCCGTGCGATGTCCACGGATGGTGACTAGCCGAGTCCGTGTGTCCGTGAAATGCTGTCAGCTCTTCCTACGGCAGGCAATCTGAGTGTGTGTCCGTTTTTCCCCTTGCTTCCGCTCGACTTCCGTCATCGTCGTTCCATCTTGTCAAGGTCGGCCACTCTCCGCCTCGGGCGTGACGGTCACTCCCAACTCCACAGGATCTCGACGGCGTTTGAGCAGTAGGCAGGGCGTGCGTTGGCTGCGGCCGGTCGGCCCTCCTGCCGACGGCCTCGCCCCATGAGCACTGTTCCCATCGGATCGGAACATGCACTTCTCCGCTCCCCGCGTTAGACCCAGCTGCGGGGCGCATGCAATTCCGCGAGCCGGACATGTGAGCTGCCCGAACTCGGCAGATTCCGCGAGCCGGACATGTCAGATGCCCGAACTCGGCAGATTCCGCGAGCCGGACATG